GTGGCTACAACGGCCGACAAGCCTATGTCTTAAGAAGCTTCTCCCCTAAAGCACAGTGCCGGATGGGGTTGATGGGGTTCCCTCGATTTCCACTCCATACTGGGAGGGAGCTACCCTACAACTAAAACCGTAGGCGTAATTAAACGATGGTCTGCTATAGGAGGCAAGTAAACAATTCTTGGAGTGCAATACCAAGGGCCCTTAGCCACCGTTATTATGAAGAGCTTGCATGGCCCCGCGCTTTAAAGGGATACTAAAGGCAACTATGTAGTCGACGTTGATTGTTGAAACAGCAGTCTAGAAACATCAAAGTGTTACTTATGTACCACGGATGTGCTTATATTGAAATAAAATCAAGTTTTAGTTGTCCGCATCAGGTTAGCGCACTTCAAATTACCCACCTCAAACGGAACGCTTCACATCGCTGTTGCCGTGCACAACGTTGCCAGGCTTTACTGCGCAATCACCGACACTAGTAACAGAAAAACGAAACTAGCGGTAGCCACAGCAGCAACAACCGCCACTGAACAATTTCCTGCCATAGCCTGCGAGATGGCACACGTGCTTGGTTCAACTGGGCCCCACTAGATGGCACGACCTGTCCAGTTTAACCAGGCAAAAATTGAACTTTTGAACTACTCGTGCCATTTCCCATAGTAAAATCCGGCGGTTATTTTTTTGATGAATCAAACAGAGAAGAACAAGCAGCATCTTATTACGCTTCTTGACGCATAGAAGGTGTTTTTTATTTAGCGCAGCTAGTTCCATTGCTAATGATTAATTGCAGGTGGCACCTTTCACGTCATCGAGATCACTTTGCGAATGTCCTACACGTAGCGCATATGTTCTTGTGCATTTACCTTAATTTGTCACAAAGTAGGGCACTGCTGTTGATAATACTGTCGTTTTAGGTGTCGTCACACATTTAGCTCTCACTCTGATGTAAATAGTTATTTGAATTTATAGTCTCTTAAAACAATGACTGGACAAGTGCGACTAAATAAAGGCATAGGGCAGAGTCGATGCCTCCCTTAGATGACACAGAAGGAGCACTCCCCCCCTCCCCACTTATTCATGCCTATGACTAGAACCCTTCATAAGGGCTCTAGTCATAGGCTGCTTGGAGAATTGCACACACGCTTGACAAGTCGTGCACAGACGCGAGTGACATTTGCAGGAAAGCCCCACGTCACAGGAGGCGGAACTGTTGTGACTTGTGCCAACAAGCGACCTGCGCTTTTTCGGTTTGCACTGTGTTTGTTCTATGCACGCCTAATGGGGGAAAAACCGAGCCCCTCTCGTTCATGTTGCCTGCTCAGGGCAGCTTAGTCGCACAGGGGCTAGTGGCGCCATCTGTTGAAGAGCATGTTAGTGAACACTTTAATTAAACAAGTCGTATAACAAAAAGTGGTGCTCATTATGCAATTTTTGCTACAAAAAAAGAGAAAGAAAATATCATGTTTACTTGTGTTCAAAAACAATCGTTTAAACATTGGTTATCAAATACATTTCTAAAGAGTGCCGATACTGCCAGGGCATCGACGCCGTTTACATATCTGCCCGATATGTTTATATCTGTCTCAGCAGAGGCGTCTCTGCGCTGCATGGTTACTTTTTAATGTGAAGCTTTTCTTAGCAAACTTCGGCGACTTTGACTGTATCTGTCTATCTATCTATCCACCTACGACTTTTAGCTCTCCTGGCCATTTCGATAATGGTACCATACCAAAATTGCTATGCCATAACATGACTATGAGGAGCATAACTGACTAATCATAACATGAAAATCATGGCATGTAAGTCATGAATTTCATGATTTACGTTTCATGGTCTTGCTGCTCTTGCAATGGTTTCATTCACATGACATATTGCAAAACTGGTATATGACATGACTGCATGGCGAAAATATGCGACAGACTCTAACGTTGAAATCACGTACCGTATTTACTCGATTCTACCGCGCCCTCAATTGTAACGTGCACCCAATTTCCACGACGGAAAAAAAAAAAAGTAAGACGTCGATTGCAACACGCACCCATTTTTCTTGCTGGCCCGCACGATCACACCACTAGAAAAAACGACTCCTTTCGGGAGCGTCTTCCATTTAAATATGAGGTACGGGGGAAGCTTGAAGCTTGTGCCCATCTGACGTGTAACAGAGCATTGCCGTCAGTGTAGTTTTATCGTGGACCGACGTCAGCACGCGAACTTGCTTTCGACACCAGGCGAACTTGCGACGGTTGTGGTGCCAGGCATGTCGAAGTAAAGACGCGTCTGATCGGCATTCCCGATTTGCCCAAGCAGGTAGCCGTTGTTGTACCGCAAGTTTAGGACGAAACTCTGAAAACTGTGGAGCTTTTTCATCGTACTCCTCTGCAAAACTTTTGGCATATGCCCGTTCACCTTCGGAAGGAAAAGCCTTTCTTCTTCATAAAGTTATATAGCCATCACCTGCTTGCTTTAAACTGGCTCTGCATTAGACCTTTTTCTAAGGCTAATTGTATAGGCCGCACTTGGAGCAGTTCTGTCGTCACGGGCCGCTGTGCCGCTCGCTGCTCAAGCACATACTCGCCGAGCAGCTCTTCAATTTGCGGAAACCGACCCTGCTGTGGTCCACTGAAGCCTTTGCGTAAAGCTTTGCTGTCGACAATCTTCTGCTTATGTTTCCGCCAGTCCCGCACGCACGTTTCGGGAACTCCGAACAACCGCGATGCGGCCCGATTTCTGCCCGTTTCTGCACACGTGATGACTTTTCTTTTAAAAGCGGCATCATGGTGCACTCGAGTTTTTGGAGATGGCCCTTCCATGTCGTCGATGCTAATGCACTACAAGATGACGAACTTCTCAGCACACGTACGAAGTGCTGCACATAGGAAACACATAGGCAGAAATGGCCGACGTGCCATGCCAACGCACATAGAGGGCGACCATGTTGGAAATGCCGATGGCAATAAAATGACCGTATTCATTTTTTTTTTTCGTACTCGATTCTACGCACATGCGATTTATGAACTCGCTTAACCGGAAAAAAGGTGCGCGTTAGATTCGAGTAATTACGGTAAATGACACGTCCAAACATGATAATCATGATATGCATGTCACGTAAAACATCACAACCTGCTACACTCATGACGTGCTCGCGGCCGTTTCGCTAGCTTCACATACCGTATTTACTCGATTCTACCGCGCCCTCGATTGTAACGCGCACCTGATTTCCACCGCGAAAAAAAAAAAAAAAAACGTAAGCGCACCCACTTTTCTCGCTGACCCGCGCGATCACACCACTCGAAAAAACGACTCCTTTCGGGAGCGTCTTCTATTTAAATATCAGGTACGGGCGAAGCATGTGCCCATCTGACGTGTAACAGAGCATTGCCGTCACTGTAGTTTTACCGTGGACCGATGTCAGCACGCGAACTTGCTTCGCCCCTTTCTTCTCGACGGTTGTGGTGCCAGGCATGTCAAAATAAAGAGGCGTCTGATCGGCATTCCTGATTTGCCCAAGCAGGTAGCCGTTGTTGCGCCGCAAGTTTAGGACGAACCTCTGAAAACTGTGAAGCTTTTCATCGTACTCCTCCGCAAAACTTTTCGCATATGCATATTCCCCTTCGGAGGGAAAAGCCTTTCCTCTTCATAAAGTTACTTAGCCAGCACCTGCTTGCTTTAAACTGGCTCCGCATTAGACCGTTTTCTAAGACTAATTGCATAGCCCGCACTTGGAGCAGTTCTGTCGTCACGGGCCACTCGCTGCTCAAGCACATACTCGCCGAGCAGCTCTTTAATTTGCGGAAACCGACCCTGCTGTGGTCCACTGAAGCCTTTGCGTGAAGCTTTGCTGTCAACAATCTTCTGCTTTTGTTTTCGCTGGTCCCGCACGCAAGTTTCGGGAACTCCGAACGACCGCAATGCGGCCCGATTTCCGTCCGTTTCTGCACACGCGATGACTTTTCTTTTAAAAGCGGCATCGTGGTGCACTAAAGTTTTTGGAGTCGGCCCTTCCACACCGTCGATGCTAATGCACTACTAGATGACGAACTCCTCAGCACACGTACAAAGTGCCGCACATGGGAAACACATAGGCAGAAATGGCCGACGCGCCATGCTGACACACGCAGGGGGCGGCCATTTTGGATTTGCCGATGGCAATAGATTGAACGTAATTTCTTTGTTCGTACTCGATTCTAACGCGCATGCGATTTATGAACTCGCTTAACCGGAAAAAAGGTGCGCGTTAGATTCGAGTAATTACGGTATACCAATTTTGGTATTTCGTGATGTGAAGGGACGGGGAACATCACTGCCAGGCACAAACATGGTAATCATGACATGGAAATGATGTACAGCATAATTTACGTCCCCCTTGTAACATTGTGCTGACATTAAATTGACATATCAACCTTCCTTATTCGTGCTTCCCATATCACAGATTTCCCACTGTACCTGTGATCTACCAATTTTTTTTTTTCATCCATTACTAACACAACTAAGGATGAAAGCAAACACAGAAGGTGTGAAGAAAAGTGAAGGAGGAAAGCAGAATGCCACACGTGACAACAGATGGCACTAGCGTAGCATGCATCGCTTGGGAGGCTTGCCAGCAGTGAGACTGCTGTGAATCGCACCCATGAACTCACTCTTGCAATCTCTAGGTTAGCAAAGCCGTCGCTGTGCTTCACTCTATTTTTAACACTCCAGAGGAGACAGATTGTCTTTTGCGCCGGAAAATACATCACAAAATGAAAATGCTTATAGAGCTGCAATAAAATTTCACATGAAGTACCATAACCATAAGCAAATTCTTCTTCTTGCTACGTGCTGCTTCGTTATGCAGTTAAAGCTGGATACGCAGAACCTTAAGTGGCTAACAAAATAGCTCTGCATATAGATAATTCGATATAGAAGATATTCTATTTATTGAAGCTTTCTTTAAGGGGTTCGATTCTACTAGTGTTCATTCGGTGCCATCAAAGTGCAACAATGAAAAGAAGACTCCAACTCACATGGACGCAGGATTGCTGGCGGTCGTGCTGCTCCTTCGCCTTCCGCAGCTCCTCCTTCTTGGTCCGCAACTTTTGGATCTCGTTCTCCTCCTCCTCAGACTTGAGAGGTGCGTCCTGGTCATCCAGCGAATCGCCCAACTCCAGCTCTTCTTCAGACTGCAACCGCGTCAGGCACGCGCTTGTCGAGCCAGTGTTTTCCACTTCCCCATATCCCTAGACAACAAAGGCGAGACAGTGGGCTTCGGAAAATGAATTTGCAGCTGTGTTTGCGAATTCCCGTGCGGGTTGTACGAGTCAATATGCTGCAGTGCAGTTCCCACACTACCACAATAGCAGGGAGCATGGAAACCCTGCACTCAGGCTCCTAGAAAGAAGCTAGTTCGGCGGCAGCATCATGAAGCAATTTTGTGCCCTTCGTGCAACAGACACGATGCTCAAATGTGCCACTACCATTACTTTTTAAAAATAAGACGTCAGGTTTGTATCTGTGGTATTTTAAGTAGTGGCATGAAAAACAACTACAGTACTGCATTTCACACACTAAAACAAGAACGATACAAAGGACGGAGGGGTGCGTAACGAAAAGCAGTCAGGGCATGGAGGAAGTAAACAGCTTTCTTTCATGGGTCGGGCAGAGCGGCAACTAAAGGGTCACGGGGGCAGGGTCGGCGTACAAGAGTGTATGGGCACCTCGTCGATGCCTGATCGGTGGTCGAAAGTGGTTGCCTGGGAAGTCAGCAGAGCGCTGACTCCGTTCGCTGTAACCAATCAGCGGCGCTCGGAGACGTTCGTTGTAAGTGCGATTTTGTGCCATTGAACCAATGTATATAGTCACGGTCACGCCGATATTGTTCGTTTTAGGGGAAAGTTCGTTTTAAGTGGGGCCGTTATATGTGGGCTCGACTGTATTTACACACCCTTACTTGTAACCCACCATGGCGTCCCCCCCACCACTGGTTGAGGGGTACAATTAATGTTTATGTGAGAAAGATGGATTTCATTCTGTTCAGTTAACTGCCATTTCTATTGTTCATCTATGCAGGCATTGCACCTAAGTCACCATATTTGATTCGCGGGCTTCCGGAATAAGTATTCGCAAGCCCTCTTGTTGCACAGTGTGGCGTCAATCATTCCTCAAGCTCGTGATCACACTAAACTTTATTACAGAACAAATGACAGCACAGAGGTGCACTCTATTTAGTTCGCACAGCTGTTTTTTGCAGCCCAGTGAAAAACTCTTCCATACGAAAAGTCACTTGCAGGAGAGATACTTTCTGACGGCCAATTTCTCTCAAAGAGGGCCTAGGTGTAGGTATGCGATGGGCAATGATTTCATCCAATCAAAACTGTGACGCAAACTACCGTATTTACTTGTATAATAAACCCGCCTTTCTTTATAACAATAAAAATTTCGAGTGACGGCTTTGCTTGTTTTGGCCTGTGAAATGCGCGACAAATGTTTTTCTGTATCCGCTAGCTCTTTCCGTTTCCTCCCATAACGAAAGCACACGGATCGACGCCAAAGTGTCGTCAAGGCGCTCATCTCCTATGTTCCAGCGCATGCTGTTTGTACACTAGCTGTGTGGCTAGTGTAGCAGCCGAGCGCGCCCTGCGCAGCAGCTGTCCCAACTTAGTTCACAAAGACGAACCCGTCAACAAAATCGCAGCGTCGAATATCGGTGCATAAACGTTGCGGTAGACGTTGTGAGTGCACGACATGCCGTTGGCTGTTGCATGGCCTCCAACCAAAATGACGGGCACTCAGAAGCCACATGCTTTGTTTTTATGCCGCTGTGCCTTGCGTGGTGTTATCAGCAAAGAGGTTTCCCTTGCATTCGACAGATGGTGCTCTGCTGCAAGAACGAGACTTTCAAAATTTGATGGACATCGCACGCGCTTGCGCTGCTCGCAATTGTTCAGCATGGTTGCGAAACTCTGTTCCGACTTTTATTGCGTTGTTATTTCGAGATATAATGGCTTGATTTAACATTATTTCGATTGTCAATGGCACTGGCTATCATACCGAAATAAAAGAACAAATACATTGAAAAGTTTTTTTTTTTTGTTCAAGGACCAAGGTGGGGGGTGAATTCATTATTTGAGTGGGTCCATTACGTGAGCAAATACGGTAAGTTAGTCCACCAAATTATCAGACAAACACTGTGAAAAAATTGGGTCTCAATGGATCTGAAATTGGGAGCCGTAAATATAGTTTGCAACGTCATAGATTTCGTTAGATTGAGGCTTGACTGTCATGCCGGAGGTGTTCAGTCACACACAATCCAAGCTAAGCCTCACCCTCACACATCATGTACTGAACAACTTTAAGAAGAGAAAAGTTACAACTTTACTTCATGCTTTGTATACAGGTTTGGTATGCAACATGAGGAGCAAGACACAAATCTACATACAAGAGCTTGACAAGGCTCTTAACTAGTTACTCTGGCTACTTCGCCCCTGGTGATGCTACTCTTTCATTGCTGAATATATGAGGCCAATCATGGCGATAAATCAATTGCCTTGTGATGGCTACCACAAAAAAAAAAAGAACAATCAGGTAATTAAAGAAAGGTTAAAACACACATCAATAGGACATATTGAGCAGATTGGAGTAATTAAGAGTGGCTAGAATTAACTAAATATGAAAAATAATGATGTTCTCGCCATTTGATTTCTTACAATGTAACTCACTGGGAACCAGTTCACTATCTTTCAAAACACAGTTTGCTAAACAGGCAGATTCATCAGGCTGCCAGTAAAATAAGCAAAACTTCTAGATTAAATATATATATAAAAAATTATAAAATATATATATATATATATATATATATATATATATATATATATATATATATATATATATATATATATATATATATATATATATATATATATATATATATTTCTTTTGCGGAAATGACGAGGTTTCTATACAGAGTGAGGCATTACTGGATGACACTCGATATAGCACTCTCAATTGTTCTTAAAACATCTACAATTTTCTTGCTGTTATAGCAGGAGGCACAGGATTGTTCCTTGCTCTTCATGTGTACATTAGTGGTACGACTTGACCAAAGCATGGTGGTTCAGCAAGTTGCATTCTTTGTGCATTCCTTCTCTTTGACATAATAGCTAATAGCGACCAGAGCAAATCAGGTACTTTGACACATGTTGCAGGTAATCAGCAGGTTAGGGGCACATATCTTGCAAGAAAGCACTGTCCACAAACGTGACGATGTTTTTGGGCCACAACTACATATCACAGACGAATGACCACTAAGAAGCACGAAGGAGATGGTTTACACCAGTGCTTGACGCACTTACAGAATCGTAGGTCAGTTCCTTCTCTGAGTCAGACTCCGTGTCGGAGACAGAGATGAGTGAGACAAAGCGCTTGCGTTCCACATTGAACTCTAGGTACGGCGGCGAGATGCCACAGAGGTAGTCCCCAAAGAACTGGATTCGGTTGATTCGGAGGCAGTTGCGAGCTCGCTCCTGCAAGAGTAGGACACAAAACTTGGAAGATATGGCATGGAAGACGGCAAAGCAGCCACTACACTACGAGACCCTGAATTTTTCATTTTGAAAACAATCTACCAGCAATAGCCTTTTGGTACACCATGGTAAAGGAACGATGAGTACAGTTGAATCCCTTTATAAGTGGCATGCTTCAGGCAGCCATTCCTGCCTATTATAAGCACGGTACCTTGTAAGCATCTTATTAACGACCCGTATTTTACTATAGGCACACCAGTGTCTCTTATGCCTATTATAAGCACGGTACCTTGTAAGCATCTTATTATCAACCCGTATTTTACTATAGGCACACTAGTGTCTGTTATACCAATTTGTCTCTTATACAGCGAAACCTCCTTAATACGTACCTGCCGGAGACGGCGGCATAACTACGCACCCCGCATTAACCACCAGCTACAAGTTTTCATCTCCTGACATGAGCCATCGCCGCCAACAAAGGAAGAAACTCAGTGCCACGGGAAATATTGCCTAAAGTGCCCACCGCAACACCGTTTCTCTCTTTTTGCCAAAGTGCAGAAAAGCTGCCGACTCTCACACAACCGCCCGTTAGCATGCAGTGGCGATGTCGGTGAGCTTTTCGAAACTACTGAGGAATTCAGGATATGCAGCATGGTCCAGAGACAGAACAGACACAATCGGCTGTCCGTGATACAGTTGCTGTGCGGTCTGCTTCTACGCAAAAAATGATGCAGTTTTCATTTCTTAAGGGGAGACGCACCTCGAAAAAGTTTTTTTTTTTATTTCTAGTAATAGAGACTTGAAAAGTTTGCTATTAGTATAGTTTTTCATGTAGATTTCAAATATGCAATCATTTTTTCTGTAGCTGCTATAATTATTGAGTTATGCCATAAACAATAGCAAAAAGTTACATTTTTTGCGGGCACTCTTTTATGTCCTAAACTTTCAGTAAAAGCACTGTGTCTGATCTTATTTGACTCTTGGTAGATTGAAAAGTGCAAATATCTATATGTCACAGAAATATTGGAACCAAGAAAAAAAAAATTGTATTGAATGACTTATTACTTTCGATCTCCCTTGAAACAAAAAGCTAATATTTTCACAACTAATGCTGGTAGGCATTGCAATTTAGAGTAGATATTTGCATTCTGCATGTGTTGAAGAATATGTGTGCCAAGTTTCGTTACTATACAATGAATATAAGTTTCTAAAAGGCTGCCCGGAAAACGTGAAACTGTCAGAAAAAATGAAAATGAGAAAAACAAGTTTGAAAGTTCGCAAAGTTGGCATTTATTAGGAAATCATTCTTTTTGCATCAAATTGGGGCACAATGAAAAGTACCTTGCCTTGAATGCACTGCAAGTGTCTAGAAGTCCCCTGCACCATAGCTTGGTCCTTCACGGCTCTTGCGGTCAGTGTCCTCAACACGAGCTCTCTTCGCTGTGTTGCGACGGTGTGCCCTCGCTTCTGCAGTATGCTTCAGGTTCATCTTCCTGATGCGCATGACGTCACAGTGGTCACCATGTGTGACCAGATCTTGTGAGGGGAGAATTCCAATGCCTTCGAGCACTTCTTCAAAGCCCCTGTGGCCTTTGTTGTACCAGAGTACAGCAAGAGCGGTGGCTGTCTCCACAGTTGTTCTGGAGGCGAACTTTGTTTTTGGACATAGCAGCCATATCTTGCTGTTCAGCGATTCGGCTGCATTCTGTGTCTTGCCATGAAGGCACCGAATAAAGAGTTTCTCCTCTGTAAGGCGCTTGTAGATAGGCATAATTGCCAATCCTTGAGCCTTCGTCAACAGTGGGGTGTGGCGTGGTGCAGGCTCCCCCAGTGCTTCCGCACGCTTGTGCTTGCACCACGAATTTGGTCCCGCGGGGCAAAAGTTGTGGCTACTGGCACCATCACTGGAGCAGCAATGAAAATACGATGCCCATATGGCAGTGTACATATTTCGGACACTGTCCTTGTTGCTCGTGATGGCGATCTTGTAATATGTTTGTAGTTTTATTATTGTCGCATCTTTCAGTTTTTCGCCTCGTGGCAGTGGCGTTGCCAATTTCCGTAGGGCAGTTCCCAAGCGCTTTGCAACATGGTTCGTGCACTCTTCTTTGTCAATGGGGGTGTCACAGTATACATTTGCCTCGCAGACTGCAGTGTAGGCCTTGCTGTCACCATCACTTAGGAAGCTGGTGAATCGCAGTGGAGTTTCATAAGACAAGGTCCTCTGCCATATATTGACAGCTGCCGCAGGTTCCATTGCATGGGATGAGCAGTCAGTGTTTTTTTGGCAAACTGGAAGATGAAAAGCTCGCCATATCTCTTCATCCTCCCCAAGGTCCCTGTGTATACTGCAAGCATGGCAGTAGTTCGAAAGAACTTCAAAATCGAGGCAGAGCCCCGTGTCCAGGGACACGACTGTGCCCACTCCATTGTGGCTTTTATGACCTCTTTTCTGCCAGGTGCCATTAAACATGAGTGGCACATCTCTGCCGCCGACTGCGTCCTTCGTGATGTTTCGTGCCTGGTGCAAGTTTTTGCTCACTGCCGTCATCGCCGCACCATGGAGCTTCTTGCAAATGCCGTTGAATGTCTTGTGATGCATCGGGCTCGGAAGACCGAGAATCGCACAAAATCGTGAAAGTTGGTCGTGGCCTGCGCCTATAGCGCGTGCTGCCAGAACTGCCTTCACGTTTACAGCAAAGCTGTCACGCGAGCTGCCGCTGTCAAAACGAGCGCTCGTTTCTTGGTCCCCCGGCCGAAGCAGTACGTCTCGACGTGTGCGTGAACGAAAGTGCAGATTCAGGGCAATCAGAATTTTGACAGCACAGTTCGAGGAATGCCGAAAGTCCTTTGCACTTTCCAGCTGCCTCTCGCACGCCGAGCTTCCGTTCGCGGCAGGTTGGGCATTGCGCACCCGCCACAAGTGCCGTCAGCGCATCGATTTCGCAAAGCAGCATGTTCGCAGTAGCAGCATCTACCGGTCTACGTTCACTCTCGAAGAATCCATACCGGTCTACGTTCACTCTCGAAGAATCCAATCTTCCTTTGAGATGCACTGACGAATTCCACGGCAGCGGCTATTTCACAACCACTGTCGCAGGGTTCGGTGACGGTGTTAGGCCTATCCGAAGTCGGAGCGTCGGGGCGTTGGTCGGGGGCGACATCGTCGTTCGCTGTCGCTTTGCGAAGCGTTTGACGCCGTTTCCCTCGATACTTGTGGCGAGTTCTGAACTTTCGATTATCTGAACTGCACTTCTTCGAGCTTGCCATGACGCAAAAATGCAGAGAAACGCAGAAAAACTCGATCGCGACGTCCGAGGCTTCGCTCTTTTGCCGGAGAGATAGGAGGGGGAGGAGCGTGGAGCGCACCGCCGTCCAATGGCCGCCTCGCGCTGTGTGCCGGGATATTCAAAACGCGTGACGTACGCGTTGTTTTTCTCGTTTTTTGTTTATTCTGCGTGAAGGCACGAGACTGGCTACTAGTGGATTATGAAGCATACGGCCTTCGCAGCATGTGTGCACGATTGCAAATGGCGGCCAACGCGTCGTTTTCCCGACAGGACGACGCGAACTTCGCCGTTTTTCGCGACTTTCGCGCATTTCTCGCGTCACCGCTGCCCACTTGGAAGCATTTTTTGATAATTTCTCGTGCGAATTTCAGCTTGATATTTTCAGAAGTAATAGATTATAGTCCAAGGATGCCAATACAGCCGGAAAGAAAAAAGCGAAAATTTTCCGGAAAACCGCGACTTTTCGACCCGCGTCTCCCCTTAAACGCGGTACGGTCACAGAGAGTCAAATCGTGTTCTGCATGGCTAATTGCGTGCACGGCTTTGTTCACTCGGTGCACACCGTGACTGCCGATGCGGCGAGTACCCTGCTGGGTTAATGCGGCAACGAAGAGCTTTCCGCAGCCAATGCAGTGGCTGTGCTGCCTCTGCAATGCTCTAGCAGTCCTGGCAACGTTTGGGCTGTTGCTGTATAAAATTGTGCAGCATGATTACAACAGAGCAACGCTTGCTGTACGGCATGCGTGTTGGCATAATACAGCATAATACAGCATAACACAGCAATGTTTCTTAGATGCCCGCGACCCAGTAGCCCTAAAGTTCGCGTCAGCGAGCTGCTTGCGTTTCTGTAAAATGGTGTGCACTGAACAAGGTCCCGCACAATGAAGCAGCAGCGATCGGCTGCCCAGCGCGTTCAGGTAGTCGCCTACTAAAAGCGTGCAATAGGCCTAAAGTGACGCTACGCCACATGCGTGCCCAAGCAGATAACCGGTGATGCTTACTGTGATAAGGCTTTTCGTCGGCGATTAGTCACACCAGCGCGCTTGTCGGTGGTCGCCACCACTTTAGTTTTTTCCCCAGATGATTACTCGCAATATGTCATCACCGCAATCGCGCGAGAGTTGGAATAACTTATCGGCTAATCTCCGCACTTATTCAACATGACGAAAAGCCGTTCACAGCCATTGGCGGCATCTGCAAGTTCAGCGGTGCAGTGAAATTTTGTGGCGCAAAAAGTTATCTTGGTATGCAGTTAGTATGCACTAACGGGTAGGCATAAGCTGAACACTACGGCTTAAGTCGGGGACTGCATAAGTCTTTATGAGACTCGGTCGGGGACACGTCGCAACTACCCTTAAAGCGGGTACACATTAACGAGTTTTGACTGTATCAGTGTATCACTGCATCAAAGGGGTTGGACTGTGAGAGGGAACAAGAACAGCAGGAGCGCCAGCTTACGAAAACCTTTATTGAAGAAAACAATAATATGCATTTCGAGCAACATTACCTGAAAGCACAAATCTCTACTTTAAGCAAGTTTTTCGACATTAAAGACTGCTCGAAAGTAGCGCTATTTCTGACCTCACTTTTTTTTTTCTCATGCTCCTGTGCTATTTATCGTCCTTTTATTACAGCCACACAGAAAATAATATCAAGAGGGGGAGGGTGGTAGTGGTCTTGGTTTAATACTGTTCCAGTACAATATTGTTACGTAAAAATGACACGAGGTGTGTCTATTTAAAATCTATATTCAAAATGATGCGTATGGCGTCGACTAAGATGGAAGCAGCACGCGCAACCGACAGACGACTTCCTCGTTGTCGTCTTTTCACCGCTGATACGTCAGCTACGTAGCATTACCCCCCCCGGCGGTAAAAGCGCCGTCTCGGTGCACATTGACTACGGTCTTCAGTACGCAGGTGGTAAGGTTTTAGTCTGCTGACGTGCACAACATCACTGGGTGTGGTTGCAGGCAGGCTTGTGGTCTCAAATGCAGGAATGATCTCATAGGTGACGTCGGTTACCTGGCGGATGATACGGTAAGGACCCATGTAGCAGACAATAACTTCTCTGATAAGCCAACTCGACGAACTGGGCACCACAGGAGAACAAGAGAACCGGGTGAGAAGTGAACGTCAGCATGCCGGCTGTCGTAGATGGCTTTATGGGTGGCTTGCGAAGCCGAAAGTCTAGAGCGGGCGATCTGACGTGCGTGGTCGGCACGAGCAATAGCGTCGCGTGCATATTCGGTTGACGGGGTTGTAGTGGTTGGAAGAAAGGTGTCGAATGGTAACGTCGGATCACGGCCATAAAGCAAATAAAAGGGTGAATAACCAGTGGTGTCGTGGCACGAAGAATTGTACGCGAAGGTCACGTGAGGTAGCGCCAGGTCCCAGTCATGGTGGTCGGAGGACACATACATCGCGAGCATGTTCGTTAGGGTCCAATTTAGCCGTTCGGTAAGGCCATTTGTTTGGGGATGGTAGGAAGTGGTCAGCTTGTGGTGCGTCGAGGAAGAGCGCAGAAGATCGTCGATCACACGGGAGAAAAATGCGCGGCCACGATCTGTGAGTAATTGGCGAGGAGCGCCATGCTTTAGGATGACGTCGTGGAGCAAAAAGTCCGCAACGCCAGTAGCGGTGCTGGTGGGGAGCGCTCGAGTGATGGCATACCTAGTCGCGTAGTCTATAGCAACAGCGACCCACTTGTTGCCCGATATCGACTCGGGAAAAGGACCGAGAAGATCTATACCAACACGGAAGAAAGGTTCGGTTGGGATGGAGATCGGTTGAAGAAGTCCAGCCGGGGGCGCAGTAGGTCGCTTCCTACGTTGGCATTTATCGCAGGAGGACACGTAACGGCGAACGAACCGGGCGAGACCGCGCCAAAAAAAGCGGCGACGCACGCGGCCGTACGTCCGAGATACACCCAGATGACCAGCAGTTGGTTCATCGTGAAGCTCGTGCAGCACGGTTGAACGCATATTTTTCGGCACGACAAGAAGGAGCTCAGGGCCATCTGGCTGGATTAGCTGAGAGAAGGCGTCAGCTTGAGGAGGGCCCCAAGAAAATGGGACGTCTTGTTTGAGAAGGTTGGTGAGTGGCCGTGCGAGTGCCGCAAAGTTTTTCACGAACCGGCGAAAGTAGGAGCAGAGGCCCACAAAACTGCGAACATCATGGACAGAGCGTGGGACAGGGAAGTTTGTTACAGCGCGTACTTTCGCCGGGTCTGGCCGTACGCCGGCAGCGTCAACAAGGTGACCCAATACGGTAATCTGACGAAGACCGAAGTGGCACTTGGAGGAATTGAGCTGCAGGCCGGCCCGTCGAAATATGGATAGAATGGTCGAAAGGCGTTCAAGGTGGGTTGCAAAGGTAGATGAGAAAATGATGACGTCGTCCAGGTAACACAAACATGTCGACCATTTAAATCCTTGTAGGAGCGTGTCCATCATTCTCTCGAAGGTCGCTGGAGCGTTGCAGAGCCCGAACGGCATGACCTTGAATTGGTAAAGGCCGTCAGGGGTAACGAAGGCGGTCTTTTCTCGGTCCATGTCATCTACAGCAATTTGCCAGTAGCCAGATCGGAGGTCGAGAGATGAAAAGAAGGTGGCGCCATGGAGGCAATCAAGGGCATCGTCAATGCGTGGTAGAGGGTACACGTCTTTTTTGGTAATTTTGTTGAGGTGGCGATAATCAACGCAGAAACGCCATGAGCCGTCTTTCTTTTTTACTAATACCACGGGAGATGCCCAAGGGCTCGTTGATGGTTCGATTACGTTTTTCGCAAGCATTTTGGCCACTTCTTTCTGAATCACTCCTCGCTCAGATGCTGACACGCGGTACGGCCGACGATGAATGGGCGCAGAGTCACCAGTGTTGATTCGGTGAGTGACAATTTTAGTCTGGCCCACGGGACGATCGTCGGTGTCGAAAATGTCACTGTATGAGGCCAAAACTTGGCAGAGAGCGTCGGCCTGGTGAGGCGACAGCTCCGATCCAATCATGTTTCGAAACATACCATCGTCTGAGCTGGGTGACCGTGAGACTGCGCTTCGATCAGGAGCAGATACAGCGACAACACTGACATCGTCCTCTGTTATGGCAGTTAGCTGGGCTAGAGACATCTGGCAGGGCAACACTTGAGGGGTGAAACCAAAGTTAAGGAGCGGAAGTAACACACAGTCAGTAATTGGCGTAACGATATAATTACCGTCAGGAACGGGAGGGGTCGATGACAAAGACACGTACGTGACGGCTCGAGGTGGCAGGTGAACGAAAGTGGTTGGGCTCAAGCGGCTGGTGGGCTTTGCAGAGTAGTCGGCAAAGATTGGTAGATCAAGGCTGAGGGTACCAGAAGAACAATCAATTAAGGCCGAGTGTGCTGAAAGGAAATCGAGGCCAAGTATGAGGTCATGAGGGCAGCAGGCTAGCACGGCAAAAAGGACCACGGCGTGACGACCGGCAATGCTGACACGAGCAGTGCACATTCCGATTACTAGTACAGTACCGCCATCGGCAACACGTATTGCCTGCGTCGTAGATGGCGTCATAATCTTTTGTAAGCGGCAACGTAGAGAAGCGCTCATAATAGACAGGTGCGCACCTGTGTCAATGAGGGCGGTCACAGGAACATGGTCGACTTGTACTTCAAGCAGGCTATGGTGCGTGGGAAGCGTCAGTAGAGGATTTTCGGTCATCATTGGTATTGCAGGTTCACCTCTATAAGCTGCAATATCTAGTTTTCCTGCTGCGGTCGTCCAGAGAAGCTCGGCGAGGAAAAGCGCCGAGGTGGCGGAGAGCGGGATTGGCGACGTAGCGGCGACGGGGAGCGAGAGCTGCGGCGACCGGACGAAGGGGCGTCAGGGTAGCGGCAACCGGGCATAGGGGCGTCAGTGGAAGGCTCGTAAGATGACGACGAATAGAAATTGAAGGGTGTGGCGTCTGAACGTCGAGGGCTCGTCGGATGCATGAGCGCCGAGGTAGAGAAAGTCTGACGTGGTTGGTTTGACCAACGGCGGCGGCAATAGCGAGAAACGTGCCCAGGCTGGTGGCAGGAAAAACAAATAGGTCGGTCGTCGGGTGTTGTTCGCCATTCCGAAGGGTTACGGAAGGGCATTGTTGGAGGTGAACGGCGAGCGTGTCCTCGGGAGTAGGACGGGACTTCAGGGCGAGTCAGGGGACATGCTGAGGGAAGTCCGAGGTTCGCAAACTCCTGCCTCACCACAGCTTGTATTAACGCCACTGACGGCTGTTGTTGGTCAGAGGCGAGCGTTGCGAAAACGGGTGGCTGAAGAGGAGCCGGACAGGCGGCTTCGAATTCCCGACGAACAATACGTGTGACGTTGTCATACGTGGGGGACTGGCGGGCGGCTTCACACGATGAGGTCGCGGCCGTGTTGGGCAGTCGGGTGAATCGCTGAGTAATACGGCGGCTCTTGGCTTCTTCGAACCGCCGGCACTCTTTAATGATGGCGTCGACGGTGGCAACGTTGTTGTAAACTAGTAGATTAAATGCGTCGTCTGCTATGCCTTTCAGCACATGGGCCACTTTCTCCGACTCACTCATGTGCTCGTCAATCTGGCGGCATAGGGCGATGACGTCGTGAATGTACGCGACGTACGACTCCGTCGACGTCTGTGCACGGGCCGCCAGTTGATTCCGTGCTGCGATCTGCCGCCCAATGGTGTCGCCAAAAAGGTCGCGGATCTTTTCTTTAAAGGAGTCCCAGCTCGTAATCTCCGCTTCGTGCGTCTCGAACCACACGCGCGGTGGGCCATCGAGGTAAAAAAGCACATTGGCAAGCATAAGAGTCGGGTCCCACCTATAGCTTGCGCTGACCCGTTCGTACCGGTTGATCCATTTGTCGACGTCAACGCCATCCTGACCGGAAAATACACCGGGATCACGAGCAGGAGGTAGAACGACGTATGTAGAAGTCACGGTAGGGGCAGGTGGCGAAGACGATGGTTGTTCAACCTGTGACATGGTTGAACCTACGATGACGCGGCCGTTGCGGAGCTTCGTGATGAAGACGGGGAAGTACCCAGCACCTCCACTACAAAGATGTTACGGAAAAATGACACGAGGTGTGTCTATTTAAAATCTATATTCAAAATGATGCGTATGGCGTCGAATAACATGGAAGCAGCACGCGCAACCGACAGACCACTTCCTCGTTGACGTCTTTTCACCGCTGATACGTCAGCTACGTAGCAATATCACCGAATTCTGACTTGTCCTTTATCAGTTCAAAGCTGTTGCTCATAACTCACCTCTAAAGATGACAGATGAGAAATCTACAGATTTTTAAAGTCACGAGATATGAAATGCCCTGAACACTGCGGCCATTTGCCGGATACACAGATGATACTTCACTGTGCTGCCAACTTTATCCTGCCGGGACCTCACTACTGCAGAGATCTGGCTGCAGCAACTTTTTCCACAACGAGAAGCCTGACAATGTGCTTTTGCACGGTGTTGGGATTATCTTGGGTGACAAAACGATGAAACTTACCCGATCGCACGGCATCTGGACATAGAAAGCTTCCTGGGGAGCTCCCAGCAGGGGAACAAAGCTGGCCAAGGTGGTATCTTCAGGTAATGTCACCAGCTCACGATCTACGAAGCAGAGAAGAGGCAAAAGGTTCTAGGCTCCCTTCCAGAGCAGCAGCGGAAGTGAAAAATAAATTGTGTTGTGCCACTTGACAGCCCATGTAAGCAATTTATCACGGTCCAATCCTAAGTTACACAAAACTATTTTCTCAAATTATCAGCCTGGCATTTCTAGACATTTCAAGCCTCTAGACTATTGCTGCTGTGCAAATAGGTTAGTGAGAACAAGTCTCAAATATTTACAGTCGTACAGCTGTGGACAACTGAAATGTGAACAAGTTAGGGCTAGCTGAGAGGCATTCCCTTGTTCTTGTTTCCGACTGTACATATAACGTCAATGTGCACGGTTAACTTAATAAAACTTTTTAAAGAGCGGACGATACACAGCCACATATGATAAGCCAGAGATATATTCTCACCTTCTGCGGGCTCCTTGAAAAACTTGACGTCACCAAAGTTCAACTTTCGCAGGACTGTCAGCAGGTCTGCTAGCATTGTCCAAACACTGCCTTTCACACTAATATCACGAAGAAAAAATGAAGAGAAAAAACGCCATTGCATTCAACTGCCTAAAATAAACACACAGCAATAGTACCTACAAGAAGTTTCTCCTGTCAATAAATGAGAAGGAGATCCAGACAAAATCATGAAACATACTGGTAACAGAGAACCACGTAGGCTCTTGCTAAAGTTTCACTAATAAAGCTTTAATGATCGATACGAGTGCACAAAAATAAGCCATGTGTTGGAAGTGTAGCCCTGTGTGTGTGTCTTCGTGTTCTTTAGTGTCCTATAACCTTGTGCTAGTATTTTATTCAAGTTTGGCATACCAATAAGCCCGCCTCGCAACTTTAATCATTATAGAAAAGTTCAACTGTATTACATATGAAAAAAAAAAAAATTAGGCCAGATAGCCACCGTCCTGCACTAATAGCGGCCATTCTGCCAGAGTGACGCCCCTCTGAAACCTCACAAAATGCGCACCAAGAAGGCAGCTTTCAAAGAAGTCCAAGATGGCAGCGATCACCCAGCTGCTGCACATGTGACGTCAGCAAGAAGTACAGTCAAATCTCGATAATTCGAACTCGGAGGGGCTCGAAAGTTTGTTCGGATTAAAAGAAGTTCGAATTAATGAAAGCTTAATACATGGAGGGATCTCCATGCAGTGGCACATGTGCATTGAGGCAACACACGAGGGGGAAGTTTCAGAAGACTTTACATTTATTCACAAATCACAGGACATCCGTCATTAATTGAAGTAGGTAATCCGTGATGCGCGTCTGCACGTTTGCCTTGCAGCGAGTCAATATCACACGCAGCTTGCCAAAGCATTTCTACTTCGGCTTTAGCATTCTCCTGGCAAGAAAAGTTGCGCGCCGAAATGTCCAGCGCCAACACTCTCTAACGACGATGACAACGACGACTGCGTAGCGGCCAGCACATGACGAGAAAAGAGGTGGTGATGGTAGTGGTTAGAAGAGGAAGAAGGCACCTACCGTAAATGCTCTAATCTAACGCGCACCTTTTTTACGGTTAAGCGAGTTCATAAATCGCATGCGCGTTAGAAACGAGTACGAAAAAAAAAAATGAATGCGGTCATTCTATTGCCAGCGGCATTTTCAAAATGGCCGCCCCCTACGTGTGTCGGCACGGCACGTCGGCCATTTCTGCCTATGTGTTTCCCATGTGCGGCACTTCGTACGTGTACTGAGGAGTTCGTCATCTCGTAGTGCATTTGCATCGACGGCATGGAAGGGCTGACTCCAAAAACTCGAGTGCACCATGATGCCACTTTTAAAAGAAAAGTCATCGAGTGTGCAGAAACGGACGGAAATCGGGCCAGCATCGAGGTCATTCGGAGTTACTGAAACGTGCGTGCAGGACTGGCGAAAACAAAAGCAGAAGATTGTCGACAGCAAAGCTTCATGCAAAGGCTTCAAGGGACCACAGCAGGGTCGGTTTTCACAAATTGAAGAGCTTCTCGGCGAGTATGTGCTCTAGCAGCGAGCGGCACAGCGGCCTTGTGACGACAGAACTGCTCCGAAGTGCGGGCTATGCAGTTAGCCTTAGAAAAAGGGCTAATGCGGAGCCAGTTTAAAGCGAGCAGGTGCTGGCTAACTAACTTTATGAAGAGGAAAGGCTTTCCCTCCGAAAGTGAACGGGCATATGCGAAGGAAGTTTTGCGGAGGAGTACGATGAAAAAATTCACAGTTTTCAGAGGTTCGTCCTAAACTTGCGGCACAACAGCGGCTACCTGCTTGGGCAAATCGGGAATGCCGATCAACGCTTTACTTCGACATGCCTGGCACCACAACCGTCGAGAAGAAAGGGGCGAAGCAAGTTCGCGTGCTGACATTGGTCCACGGTAAAACTACAGTGACGGCAATGCTCTGTTACACGTCAGATGGGCACAAGCTTCCCCAATACCTTTTATTTAAATGGAAGACGCTCCCGAAAGGAGTTAATTTTTTGAGTGGTGTGATCGTGCGGGCCAGCGAGAAAAATGAGTGCGCGTTGCAATCGATGTCTCACCTTTTTTTTTTTTCCGTCGTGGAAATCGGGTGCGCGTTACAATCGAGGGTGCGGTAGAATCGAGTAAATACGGTAATTTCTGCAGCCCGGTTGGGAGCACGGCGCAGTGCCTTAGAAAGGAGTAGCGTCTCCACGTGAAAAAAAGCAAATTGACATTAGAGAGAAAACCAACACTCCACGACAGCTTTTTTTTTCCCTCTCTATCTTCACGCGCGGCGTTGGAAGGAGAAGCGTCTTCACGTGGCAGGGACGGAAAAGGGAGAAGCGTGACATGGGCACGCCGCAGATCGTCATTTGAGAGAGAGTAAACATTCCACCGCAGCCTTTTCTTTCCTTCACTTGCAGCGTTGAGGTGTCCCAGGCGCCGCCGCAGGATTGGGCGGGGTGCTGAGAGCATTTTTAGAGTGCGGTATGTTCGAATTAACCATCGCAAGTGCTTGTGCGTTCAAATTACTGGGCATTTTTGCTCATTGGAATACACATAGCTTTGATGGGACCTCATCGTGAGTTCAAATTAACTGGAAGTTCTAATGAGATTCGATTGTATGAACAAGTGTTGCTTGTTGAATGCATTTTGTGGCACTTCTGGTGTCTTAAAAAAAGTTTTATCACATTCCAAGGGCCAAATTGCTAACAGTAATCTTTCAGGGGCAGGTGCTTAGGAGGTACACACATGCATAAAATGCGCTTTCCTCAAAATAGACTTTCTGACATTTTTTGGTATTCTAGTCCCCCTCTTAATATTCATTGTGTTGCAACCCGCTAGTTTCTCGGTCACCTCAGCTGAGAGAGCGAGACAGAGGTGGCCTGGTGTTCGAATCCCAAACCAGGACAAATTCTTAATCAACATAAAAGCGGTTTCTTTCTTGTTTATAACTCGTTTAGAACTCGTTGATAAGAGACATGCACAAGGAAGCAATTTTTATAATGTATCTCTTACAAGCAAGGTACCAGGTATACATTTTCTTATGAACTCTCAGCATACTGGTGTCTCTTATATCCAATCGTCTGTTACATCAGTGTCTTATTTAAAGGCGTTAAGACTGTATTTACTATTTACTTCAGAGCTCTGTTGGTGTGGACGAGCGTATGAGACTTCAGCCCCCTTGCTGGCTTTCACGAAATCGATTTGACATGGACAGAGCATGCAAGCAATGGCAGCAGCCGGGAGCACGCACCTGGTGTTGTAGTCACAGGGTGTAGGAGGGGGAATCCAGAGCCGCTTCTGGCAGGACATCCAGTCAGTCCACAGTTTCAGGGTGGGCAGCAGCTCGGCGAGCTCGTCCGAGAGGGACAGGCGAGGCGGGGAGGAGGATCCCCAGGTGAGGATGAGGTCGAGGATGAAGGGGAGGGCACGCTCTGCTGCAGCAACTGCATGGCCCGTTCCAAAACAATGGCCACATGGGCGAGTGCCACCTGCAGGCTCTGCTCCTGGAGCAGTGACCGGCAGTCTGGCTCCATGTTGCGGTCTGAAGCACACAGAAAGGAAAATAAGTTCGGTGCAGTGGATTGACCAAGGGGAACGACTGGTGGTCACATGCAATGACGAAAAAAAAAAAAATCAATGAGCGATTGTATGGTGACAGCTCTGAGGAAAGATGAAATCGACGGCTTGGCCTAATAGGAAGAAAAGAATCACAACAGCCATAAAAAACGCTGCACAGAGCTAAGGAACACTCTAAACACATTGATCTGTACATTTTTGCAGATTTGCACCGGGGAACGAGACCTGAAGGCCAGGTGGCAATGAGGCCAGCACAACAGATATGTGGGAAAATTACTTTTGGAGCATCCAAAAGTAAGCATGAAAATGAAAAATCCGGCAACAAACAGAACACGCATGCACTCTGCACCATCACTTTACACAACAAGTAGAGCTGAAGAACATACATCGAGTGTGGCTGGAGCCGCAAATGCATTGAGCGTTTCCGAGAATGTCAGAATCAACACGTGCTCCGAATTGGCACTATCGAGTGTGACACCGAATGTTTCCGAGATCCCCGGACTCGGCACTTCCGATGCTTTACGCCGAAGAATAAATTATAAACGACATCAAAAGAAGATGGAGACAAGGCGAAAGAAGAAAACAGTTAGTCAAGGCAATTCTAGCTATCTTGCTGGAGCTTTCTGAAGAAAATGCAAGTGCTGAACTTTCTAGGCCCGTTTTCTCAGAATGGATATTTTTTTTGCTAGTTGTGGTGGCGAGAAAAACTAAAACTCAAAGAACATTATTCAGATTTTTGTACCGTTTTTGCATTCTGATTTTGAATGGCTTTGCTGGGCTGGAACAAGCTTACTCCTTTTTTATGTAAATTGGTGTAACGTAATAAACATTTAAGTTTTGATTAATCTGGTAATTACTAGATACATCAAGTTCAAACCTGTTGAAAATTTTTTGGGAGTGAAAATAAAAATAAAAAGGCTTTGTAGCACCCTGGGATATCTATGAAAGAATGACCACAATGAATTTCAGCTTTCCACCATGTTCCGACATTTCTCACGACTTTTCCTCAGGCACCCACGTGAACAGCCCAGTAGAACCCAGTTAAACCTCAATAACTCTGGAACTACAGGACACAACTTTATGAAACATTGTGGTTGCTCTAGCTTTAGTGTAGGGAACATACCCTGAAATTTTCATCCAGATATCTTAAAAAATAAAAGAGTTCCGGTTTCCAGGGTAGCCTACCCACCTTAACTCCAAGCACAGAGCCACTGAGAGACAAAATACCCACAGCAATATCGCTCTCCAAAAAAGTTCTGCAGATAAGCTAGGCAACCAGGGCTGTTTCCTATAAAACGTGACACACTAGGCTCAGGGACAGTACTGCTTTCTACCGGGAGGCAAGCGAGATTCAGCAGTAGCTTTGAAACTAAACAATAGCAGCTTTGTCTGTGGGAAGAGACGGGTCTCACTAAATTAAAAAGACAGCCTTTTCAGCAAGTGAGTCCACGTGCAGGATATCAAGGTATTCGACCATGAAACTCGCCTTTTAAGCATGTGTTCGCTACGGTGAACATGTTGATTGCAAGGAGCTGCAGGTGCCGGCTATTGGTGACAGCAGCCGGAGTTCTTTGGAGTAGGCACCGAAACTCCATCAGCATCCGGCGAGCCGTCTCGGAGAATGTTTCCATACTGCATGTAGAGAGACACCAAAAGATTGTGAAAGAAGGCTACCCAGCGAAAAAGTTTGCACATAAATCACACTTTCTTGCGCACCACGGATGTAGCAGCAAGGCCACCAATCCGTTGAAAGCAGCATGGTCAAGCCGTTTAAAAGCGACATTTTATTTTGAAACAACAAACGAAACAAAGTTTTGTCATCGCACAAAAATTTCTATGCCCCAAGAAGGGATTTTTCACACATGTGGTTAAAGTTCTACATCAGCGTACAACACTAATATAATTTAGCAGCACATTGCTATGAGAATACCAGGAATCTGGCAATTTACCGTATAAACGCGTGTAAGGGCCGCACTTTCTTTTTCAGGAAATGAGGGCCAATTTTCAGGGTGCGGCCCATAGATGGAAATTTTTTTTTGGTGAACTAAAAACAACGTACCAGTTAGTGAACGAAGAGCGTTGATTGCAGTATGCCGCGTGTGCGCTTAATCGTCGTCACTCGACGAGTCCTCTAACCCGGAGTCCGAGATGGTGTGTTCCGGAGCACCATCATTCCACAAACAGTCATCTTTGGTGCCATCCAGGCTGTTGGATGTCCCAGTGACATTACCGTATTTAGTCGATTCTACCGCGCCCTCGATTGTAACGCGCACCCGATTTCCACCGCGAAAAAAAAAAAAAAAAAGTAAGGCATCGATTGCAACGCGCACCCACTTTTCTCACTGGCCCGTATGATCACACCACTCGAAAAAACGACTCCTTTCGGGAGCGTCTTCCATATAAATATGAGGTACGGTCGAAGCTTGTGCCCATCTGACGTGTAACAGAGCATTGCCGTCACTGTAGCTTTACCGTGGACCGATGTGAGCACGCGAACTTGCTTCACCCCCTTCTTCTCGATGGTTGTGGTGCCAGGCATGTCGAAGTAAAGAGGCGTCTGATCGGCATTCCCGATTTGCCCAAGCAGGTAGCCGTTGTTGCGCCGCAAGTTTAGGACAAACCTCTCAAAACTGTGAAGCTTTTCATCGTACTCCTCCGCAAAACTTTTCGCATATGCATGTTCCCCTTCGGAGGGAAAAGCCTTCCCTCTTCATAAAGTTAGTTAGCCAGCACCTGCTCGCTTAAAACTGGCTCCACATTAGACCTTTTTCTAAGACTAATTGCATAGCCCGCACTTGAAGCAGTTCTGTCGTCACGGGCCGCTGTGCCGCTCGCTGCTCAAGCACATACTCGCCGAGCAGCTCTTTAATTTGCGGAAACCGACCCTGTTGTGGTCCACTGAAGCCTTTGCGAGAAGCTTTGCTGTCGACAATCTTCTGCTTTTGTTTCCGCCGGTCCCGCACGCACGTTTCGGGAACTCCGAACGACCGGGCCCGATTTCCGTCTGTTTCTGCACACGCGATGACTTTTCTTTTAAAAGCGGCATCGTGGAGCACTTGAGTTTTTGGAGTCCGCCCTTCCACGCCGTCGATGCTAATGCACTACTAGATGACGAACTCCTCAGCACACGTACGAAGTGCCGTACATGGGAAACACATAGACAGAAATAGCCGACGTGCCATGCCGACGCACGTAGGGGGCGGCCATTTTGGATTTGCCGATGGCAATAGATTGACCAAAATTTTTTTATTCGTGCTCGATTCTAACGCGCATGCGATTTATGAACTCGCTAAACCAGAAAAAGGTGCGCGTTAGATTCGAGTAATTACGGTAAAACTTCGGGACACAATGTCCGCCAACGCCGAGCTCCACGCCGACAATACCCAACCGAGAACAGTAGCAAGCGGTGCCCTCTCCAGCCGTCCGGTCGGCGTCTGCTCATGGTTGCCGGTTGCCATCCATTCCGTGTAGAGTCTTCGGAATTCAACTTTGAACAGTCGATTTACCCCGGAATCACGGCCATGTCTGTGCCGACACGGCACAGCTGCTCCTTCACCTTATTGGTAAGGTAGCCGCGGAAACTATCCAACACTAAAAGTGAATGTTCGGCCAACAAAGCTCCCGGTCTGTTCTGCCAAACACTTTTCACCGAGCCAAGCACCAAATAATCGTTCATCCATCCCTTCTCTTGGGCTCTAACTATGATGCCCTTGGGGAAAACTTTGTTGGGAATTCTTTTCTTTTTCAGAACAACGTACGGGGGTAGCTTCCGCCCGTATGCGGTCACACAAAGCATCACGGTGCAGCGTTGGCGCTCGGCGTCGGTGGTCCGCACGGCGACACTCTTCTTGCCTTTCACTTCGACTGTGTAGTTCTCGGAAGAGTCAAACCACACAGGAGTTTGATTAGCATTCGCTATTTGCGACAACAGATAATTGTGCTGATGGCGCAGGCCGATGACATGCACGTGAAAACTAAGCACCTTGTTGGTATAGTCTTCTGGCAGCCGCTGGCACAGCGTGGTCCTTCGCCGAAAAGAGAGTCCCTTCCTTTTCAGAAACCTTCGCACCCTACCAGCACTAGCCTTGAAATCCCCGGTCAATATATTTTCCGCACGTGCCAAGGCTAGTGCCTTCATGCGCAGCATGTCCGTAGTGAGCGCAAAACCATCGTTCCGCACCTCAGTCACATAGCGGAGCAACTCCTCTTCCAAATCAGAATACTTAAACTGTTTTCCTCGGAAAGCGCGTTTTTTGATGTTGGTGTTCTGCAAGGCTTTCTTCTGAGCACACCAACGTCGAACACACTTCTCGTCAACGTCGAATTTTCAGCCGGCGGCCAGTTTCCCGTGCTCAAGAGCAAACTCGATCACCTTCAACTTATAGCCAGCTGTATAGCTATTCAGCTGCTTGCCCATCGCGCCAAAACGTTAACGTCCCGCAGAAAACTAGCTAGAGCCCCAGAGTCATTCAACACTGCGCAAAACTCGAGCACACGGCAGGCTGAACAGCACAATGACTGAACAACGCACAAATACCAAAGTTGGTGATGCTAATGCCGATATGGATAGCGCGTTTGTATAGAAGTGTCAGAAGTTAAAGATAAAATCCCGCTTTAACCTTTAGTTGGCGGGTGTATGAACACTAGTGAAAAAACTTAAAATTTTTAGCCAACTTCATGAACATATTAGCATGAAGAAAACCAACAAATTATTCTAATGACGTATTATATGATGATGATGATAATTGCATTCTCTAACACTATCTACTGACAACGCCTAGTGGCTCACACACGCGCGCGCATTTCGAATACGTATGGGTCAAGGAAAGCGCGGATGCGGCCCTTACACGCAACTTTTTTTTAAATATGTGCTTCTTAAAAACGGGATGTGGCCCTAACACGGGTTCGGCCTTTACACGCGTGTATACGGTATATCACTTGCATGGCATACATCTCATTTATAAAAGTTCTGCGCATAAAAAGTTAATTTGTTCTGTTCTCATTTGTGTATTACAGTCGACTCCTCTTGAATGGAACTCGAAGGGGATCCATAAAACTGTTTCATTTATCAGAAGTTTCATTTAAGCAAAGTACACTTATTTAGTGAACCAAGACATTTATTCAAATTGCACAAACCTCACCTTGCTCATGAGGATGAGTAGAAAAAAAAAAGGAGTGAAGAGTGGTTTGTTTGGCAAGCTTGAGTTGTTTTTTTCACAAGGTACGCACCCATGCCTGACAAAGTAGCTAGAAATTCTGGACAAGTCTAATGCTCAAAATAGTGCTACAAAAGTTCAACAGCCTATTTAGCTGATTGGTCTGGTGGCCCCACTGCACTGGCAGTACAGTCATTACATTCATTGCTGGAAGGTTGATCCTCATCTTGCACTTTGGCAATCATTTCCTCGACAGTCTCTTCACGACAGGTACGAACATTTTCATCAACTTATTCGTAGTCTTGCAGCGTGAAAGGGGCAGAGGGCACGACTTGACTGAATATTGTCTCAATGTCGACATCAGCAGGGCTTTCTTCTTCATCAGGTACTGCTTTCTTGCGCTTGAAAGTCAGCACGGTGAAAACATCTGTGTATTGTTGTTGCCTTCACTTGCTCCCAGGCAAAACCAAAATGTGGATGGCTGCCAATAAATTTATGCTCTAGCATTTCCTACTGCCTGCTCTAAGCAGCACTTGCTGGAGCAATTGTCTGCGGTAATGAACTTTGATGTTCTGAATAACCCCTTGATCCATCGGCTGGATCACTGTCGTTGCATTGGCTGGCAAGAACTCCAGAGTGATGGCTTGGAGTCCTTGAAGCTGACAGTGGGCTTGCGTAAATCGTAAATCTTGCGTCTTCCTCCCGAAGCCAGTTTTCAAAAATGGCCATGGTCATCCATGCTCTTCTGTTACCATGGTACGCAACGGGCAGTTGTCGAATGCCTTTGAAACAATGTGGATCCCTTGATTTTCCTATTTCCGCTCTATCTGGCAGAGCCATGTGTCAACTGCAAGCTAGGAAGAAGTTCGACAGGACTGCGAAATTCAAGCCAAGTCCAGTGTCATGTCATTTTGCGGCCATGTTTGTGCCACATACCGTCGTACATAATGGCAATGTCGTCCCTGCTAAGTTCCCTCACTGAGAGCTCTTTAGACCTCACATGATTGGTGCTGACGTCATCCATTGCTGCATCATGAACTTTCCGGCTGACGGGTGTGAATGACTTTTGATGCATTGGCCTTTGGAAGCCAACAACTTCCGCAACTCGGACCAGCTGTTCGTAGCCTGTTCCTACAGAGCGCGCCGCACAACAGTTTACTTGCAAGCAATGGCTTTTTTTCATTCATAACGGAGATAATTACATGAGAAAAGCATTGTTCAGCTGTGCTGCTCGACAAAACATGAACCACGCAAATAGGCTTCACAGCACATACAGGCGCGCAGTGGCCAATGGAGGTCCCCGATCCGTACCACGTAATAACCCAGTGGCGGTGCTCGAAAAACGTGCAGGAGCGTGCCCTTTTTTGTTATTTTTTGCGCTGCATCAGCGAGAGAAACTGTTTTTATTTGAAGAGTGAAGCTCCACTCTTCGGCTCATGCGATCAACAATGGCGAGAGGCGGCGCATTATCGGCGG